TGGAACTCTCTGGCTTTCTCCATAATCCAGAACATGTTAGCAATTTGGACTCTAGTTCCCCTGCCCCTTCGAAATCCAGCTTGTGGGAGTTCTTGGTCCATGTACTGCTGAAGCCTGCCTTGTAGGATTTTGAGCATAACCTTGCTAGCCTGTGAAATGGGTGCAATTGTATGGTAGTTGGAGCATTCTTTGGCACTTCCCTTCTTTGGCATTGGGATGTAGACTGATCTTTTCCAATCCTCTAGCCACTGCTGAGTTTTCTATTGATGATGATAAAAAAAGCACACTGGTCCTTTGGTATTGGGCTGTGGCACCAGGGTGGGTGACATGACCTTTAGCCTGCTTTGTTCCTTTTTGCACACCACACATAGAATGATTGAAGTGGTAGGGAAAGCCCCCCCTCCCAATTCTGCATTGGCTGTCTCTAGCAAGCATGTCATTGCTAGCATCACTCTGGCAGCCACTGATGATGATTAAATCTTCTGTGAGCTAGCAAAAATTTAATGCAACTTGCTAGGCACCGTTGGACACCTTACTACTCCCTATACCACACCATGGCTGGAGTGCAATGTGTTCCAGCAAAAATAGTGCACATCTTTATCAAATTTGGTGCATCCTGCTAGTTTGGTACACAGCCGGTGTAGATTCAATAATATTTTTAATTCAAATTATGTATGATTTCCTTCCTTTCGAATGAAGGGGCTAATGTCGGCGTATATAAATTTTTTTGGGGGGTAAAAGGTAAAAAAGTTCCCTGACCCCTGTTCTAGCTCATCTTTCCATTTTGCTGGGCATCGTGTTATTTCTTTGTTTCACCACATGAGGGCTCTTTTGTAAGAAATAAGAATTCGAAACTACAAAATCAGTGAGAAATGCAATGATGGCATTTTCTGTAAAGATGTTATACTGTATAACCAGACTGGAAAAGTTACTATTTTGGACCCCAACTCCCAGAATCTTCCTTCAGCATGCCATGTCATGCTCGTTGGAGGATTCTGGGAACTGGAGTTCAAAAAAGTAAGTTTTCCAACTACTTTCTATTTGTATAAATATATCTGCATCACATTACTTTATTTCAAGTGGTATCTCAAAAATAAAAGAATACAATTTCAGTGTATTTCACATACAGCCTGATGCATTAGGATTTCTTCTACTAAGAGCAGGAAATGATAGTAGGATATCAGTTTATTCCATTTGTACAACAGTTCCACCTTCTCCCTTAAAATTTCAGCTGCCAGTCAGCCTGTGGATTGTGCTTGACCTTGTCATTTTAATCTAACTGCAAATTGGAAGCAAATGTTATTTTTTTCTCCCGCTCCAGGATGGCCATGACATCTTGCAGCAAGTATTTTAATAAGTTAAATGAAATATAATAAACAATTTCTTCCTGTTTTGACTACTGTCAGAGCTGTGGATGAGGGACACGATTCCACCAAATTATTTTAATTACCCCGCTAGTCTCAGCTGTGACATCTGGTGGCACTGGTGAGCTTACCTGATGTGGCACAGAGAGGCCTGATTTATGAAGCTGTAATTGGCTTTCCAATAAACATTTGTCAAAATAATGTACTCATTCAAACCAAAGCCTGCTTTATACTTTCATATAAAAGAGCACTTAACTTTCAGCAAAGAATTGTCTGCCATCAAAAACACCCTATAAAGGGGTAAAATTTATGAAGGCTAGGTACCGAAAGGTGGTCACTTGAGGACTAACGTTCATTTTGAAACTTTGGAACGTGGACTTCTGCTACATGCTTGTTATTAGGGCTGATGCTTCCTCTTCCTAAAACTTGTACTCTGAACTCAGATATTTGTTTACTCTTTCAAGTTTTGACATGAAAATGGAAGTTTACTTTTCAAAATGGAAATAATTTACTGAGCAATTTGTGGGTGATTAAGGGCATAAGGTAGGCAAGACACAAAAAGTGAGGACTGGATGTAATAACGAGCAAGAGTGATTTAACTGGAAGAAAACTTGACCTTAAGTATTGAGCCTATTTAAATAAAAAGACACCTTGTTGCTTGCAAGGCAATTTCTAATAAATTTGTTTGGGATTAAATGCCTTTCACTGTTGTCTTTCAATCTTTTTCCAAGGCTACAGAACATTTTTCACAGGTAGATAAAGTCATTTTCCAATTTAGGAAGGACATTGCTTATGTGTGGTTGGACCAGGTTTTTGTCTCTGGTCCCTTTCTGATTGCAGGGAATTTGCACACAAAGCTTCTTTGGGGATCTCAGAGGAGGTCAAGAAGCACATCCTCTTCTGCTGTCCAACTGACGGGAACAGCCAGTGGGCTCAGGAAGCATAGCTAGGGACACTTCTGGCCACCCAGCATTTGTTGCCTGAGATGACAAGCTCATTTGCTCTGTAAGGGTGACTCTGGCACCAACTATTCTTCCATAGTAGAGACCGGTGTGGGGGCAACTGTGGTACTCTGTATGGGGTTGTTCGTGGGTGGCTTTTTCTTTTTTTCTTTTTGGCTTACAGCTCTCATCATCCCTAGCCAGAATAGCCAGTGGTGAGGGAATGTTGGAATTCTAATTCAAGGAAGGACCTAAAGGGCCCGATTTGCCCTTGTACCCTCTAGTAGCCACATATATATATATGGGGGCTCTTAAACTAGGCAGAATTTTCCCCATGCAGATTCTTGAGCCTTTCATTCCTTTTCTTTGAGGAGTGGAAACACTATGGGGCATCTTGGGGATCTGCATATGGCCATGGGCTGTATGTTGCCTACCCTTGATTTAGATTCTATTGCATTTTGTCCTACATGCACGTTGGCAGTTTTACCAGCACTGCTCAGGTCTTCCAGTCTAAAGACTGTGGCTTCCTTTACCGAGTCAATCTATTTCATGTTAGGTCTTCCTCTTTTCTTCTTCTTTCTGTTTTTCTTAGCATTCTTGTTTCGGGAGAGACTTGTCTTCATTGAACTCCCAATTAGTGCTGGCATTTCACTACACTTTCTGTATATCTGATATCTGCTATTACAATATTCTTAAAATCTTGATCAGCAGACAGAAGAAGAGGAGAACAGAAGGTATCTGTAGATTAGGTCAAGCTTTTCATCACCTGTTAGCCATTTGTGGCTTTAGTCTGGAGTTGTGTCATGGACCCCCGTGTCGGTGTTTTAGTGTTAATCCTGATGTTCAGGGATTATTAATTAGGAAGAAAATTAAATTCTTTTATGCTCTTGCCACTCATGGAGAGAGGGCTCCTGTAAAGATAATCTCCCCTGTTCTCTACTGGAAGATGAATGTTTCCTGAACTGCCACTAGAACTGACCTTGCTTTCCCGATTATTTGTACAGTCATATAACACAACAGTCAGGAAGGACATGGTATGTGAAAAACAATTCCCTGAATAACATGTAGAAAACCATTTGAGTTGGCCTTTCCAAATCTGTGCTCACAATAGGTGAACACTATCTGAGCATATGCAACAGCAATGTTGTTTTTCATCTAATCCATCCATTTTTAAAATCCAAGTTGCTTACTTAGCCAAGAGAGCATTTAGTAAAGCACACAGGAATATTTAAGCAAGGACAACCATCTGGCAATCAGGATTAGGCACTGTGTAAACTCATTACACACACTTTCATAACTGCTTTAAACCAGCACCAGCAAGTGGAGGACATGGAATCAGTGCTGGGTATAATTCTGCTCTATGATCTGTGGGTTTTTCAGGCCAGTCCTAGATGTATTTGCTTGGAAATAATTCTAACTGGAGTTACTAGAAACTTAATTTGAAAAGGTCTGCTCAGGATTGCAGCTCTTTATCACAACAATCCATATTTTGACTTACGTGTGAAAAGATTGTTAGTGTTGTCTGTATATTTTGCCATGTTGAACAGCATTCCTTGTTCTTGTTATTTGCCATTAAGTTGCCTCTGACTTATGCCAATCCTATGAAAAAGTGACCTTCAAATGTCATTAACAGCCCCGCTCAGCTGTTGTTAACTCAAGGTTGTGGTTTCCTTTATTGAGTTAATTCATCTCCTGTCTGGTCTTCCTCTCTTTCAGCTGCCTTCAACTTTTCCCTGCATTATTGCCTGTTCCCGTGAGTGGATGGGAAAACTGAATACAACAGTTTCAGTCTGTTTTTAATGAGCTAATTTGCTTCTCATCATCCTTGCTCATCTCCAAAAAAAATATCCCTAAACCTGTAAAGTGGGCTTGGCTGTGAAGTAGTGATTTCCCCAAGGAAATCTAAATAATCTTTCTGACTCAGTAAATATTTGAACTTGGGTCTTCCAATTCATGATTCTAACCTTCACACTATCCTGGCTGTCTCAGATTAGTGACTATCACGTAAATGATGCCAAGGCTGAAACATATTGGTAAGAAAATCATAAATATGCTTAAATGTATAATATAATAATTTCTGTGTTTGGAAAACTGGTATAGAGCAACTCTGGCTACTATTCATGAGAGATGTATACTGTCTCCAAGATCTGAGATGGTGCACGTCTGAAGGCAAATTATTACTGGAGGAAATGAGTTGGAGGGTACTGTTGTCCTCATGCCTTATTTACAGGCATCCAGAGGAAACTTCTGGCCACAGTGGGAGCATAATATTGGAGTCAATCAGCCTTTGGTCTGCACAGCACAGCTTCTGTTCATGGAAGACTTCAGTCTCTGGGATAGCATAAAGCAGGATTGTCTAGATAATTAGACAGCTTTTTGGATGGCTACAAACTGGACTTTGAAGTCTCCCATTTCCTCATCTTAAAAAGCTTACTGTCTTTTCCTTCTGTGCTTCATGAGATCTTTGCCCCATTGCCCCATATGTCACATTGCAGGGAAAGGCAGTGCAAGATCAGCTGGAAAAGCTGAGTCTAATCCTATATGCTGCTTTTAGAGTTTAACAGAGCATGCTTTCTCAGTGAAAAAACCTCAGCATTTAAGATGTAGTGAGCAACAAGCCACTGCAAATGCAAACAGGTTTGGACAGCAGAAGTGTGGACTGTTGGTGACTGAGACTCTTAAATGGTGGCAGAAGTGCAGTGGAGTCCAGCAACACCAAAAAGTTGGTTACTCCTAAGATATAGCCTCAGTCAGAGTCCCTGCGTTGGGATGTGGTGGCACTGTGGGTTAAACTACAAAGCCTCTCGGCTGCAAGGCTGAAAGATCAGCAGTTTGAATCCACGCGATGGAGTGAGCTCCCATCGCTTGTCCCAGCTCCTGCCAACCTACCAGTTTGAAAGCATGTAAAAATGTGAGTAGATAAATAGGTACCACCATGGTTGGAAAGTAGCGACATTCCATGTCTAGTTGCACTGGCCACATGACCACAGAAACTGTCTACGGACGAATGCTGGCTCTACAGTTTGGAAGCAGGGATGAGCACACTAGAGTCGGACACAACTGGACATTTGTCAGGGGGAACCTTTGCCTTTGCCTAGAGTCCCTGCAGGAAAGAATGGGTATCTGAGCTGTCCTTGAAACTACACTTAAACCCCCACCCTCATTTTTGTGGCTCATCTAAAAAAATAAATAAAATAAACTAGAAAAGGAGGGTTAATATTTATTTATTTAGTATACTTGTATATCATCCGTTTTAGTGACAAGCACTACTCTTGGCAGTTTCCAGTCAACATAAACCTAAAAACAAAATTAACAGTAAATAATAAAACAAGGGAAATACACACACGCCCCAAAACCCGTAAAACCTGAGCTAAAACCTAAAAGATGGTGGGACTGGTGACTTAAGCATGTAATGACTTAAGAGAAGATGCCCTTAAAGGCTTATTTAAACAGCACTTACTTGAGCTTTCTCTTGAAGACTGAGAGGGAAAGGGTCTGGTGAAGCTCTAATCGGAACCCATTCCATAAGGGTGATGTCACAACCGAGAAGGCTTGATTTCTTGTGCAGGTCTTAGCAACAGCCATTATTTGGTACTTTCATGAAAGGTTTAGGTCTAGGAACATGCCCAAGTTCTGAACTTGGTCCTCAAGAGGGAGGGTTATGCCATCCAACTTAGGGAGACAATCCACAACCTGTTTAAAGAGGCCCCACAGAAGAAGGAAATCCATCTTTTCGTGGTTCAGCTTCAAACTATTGGTTTTACTCCATTCGAGAATCATGGCCAAGTAGTACTCTAGCATCTGGACAGCATCCACTGCAGAGGATGTAAAGGAGAGACAAGAGTTGTGTGTCGTCGGTGTACTTATGGCAACACACTCTAGATTTCCAGATGACCTCTCCCGGTGGCCTAACATGGATGTTAAAAAGCCTTGGGGAGATCTATGACCCCTGGGCAACCCATAATTATCTAAAGGACCGCCTTCTTCCATATGAGCCTGCCCGTCCTCTAAGATCAGGCCAGGAGGCCCTTCTGAGGGTGCCATCCCTGAAAGAGGTGAGGGGGATGGCATGTCGAAATAGGGCCTTCTCAGCTGTTGCCCCCCCCAACTTTGGAATGCCCTCCCTATAGAGATCTGCCTGGCTCCAACACTCTTGGCTTTTCGGCACCAGGCAAAGACCTTTCTGTTTAGCCAGCATTGTAATTAAACAGTATTCTCTAGCTGGCCACATGAGCAGCAGGACTTATTAATATTAATGTTTTAAGAATTGTTTTAATATAGGATATTTTATATTGTCTTTTTAATGTTTTTAAGTTTTAATATTGTTGTACGCCGCCTAGAAGCCACTGGTAATGGTGTGGCTAAAAAAATACTGTAAATAAATAAATAATTACGAGTCCATGAGGCTGACACTTTCTCACCAAGCTGCACTCTGTGACTCCATCCATCAGAAAAGGATCAGAACCAGCTAAATGCCAGCCATTCAATCCCCCCACCTGATAGCCTGTCCAGGAGGATACCATGGATGACAGTATTAAATGCTGCTAAGAAATCAAGGAGCACCAACAGGATCATTCCTCCCATATCAGCCTCCCTTACCAGATCATTGTGCAGTGTGATCAGTGCTGTCTTGGTACCATGGCACAGCCTGAGCCTGGACTGAAATGGATCAAGGCAATTCTCCTCCTACAGGAATGTCTGGAGCTGCTCAGCCACACACACTCCCCATAAAGGGGATAATTTTGATGGGCCTAAAATTGCTTTAGTTACGTGTTGCTAAGTTTAACCATTTTAGGATGAGCCATATAATAGTCTCCTTCACATGGGAGGTGATGGTGGCGGCATGCAGCTCTCCCTTGGTGATACATTTATATTATTTATGGCCCAATCCACTGTGGCCCCATAGTCAACTTTAAATAGGCAAGGATGGGCAAGGATTAAGCACTGAGATGGCCGTTCTGCAGCATAACAGCACCCTGGCCACATCATCCGATGTTACAAACTGAAACTTATCCAGTCTGCTCTTCCAGTCCAAATTGGAATCCTGCCACTACATAGTGGCTTTAAAATGTAAACAAAACAAAGCATAATTTATGTCTCAGATCACATCTTTTCAGCCCAGCTTTGTGTGAGAGTGTGCACCGTGGCTATTAAAGACCAATATGATTAGCTCTGAGAATTAAAATGTAGACAATTTTCTCTATTGTGAAGAGCTGTTATAAGCCTAAGCCAATACGTATATACAGTATATATAAACATATGAATCTTCTCTCTTCCCCCACTCTCCCCCTCTCTTTGTTTCAAATATTTTACCTCTCCTTTCTCCTTGAAAAGGACCCAAGGTGGCGTACAACAGTGAAAAACAATATTTAAAGTTGAAAACAATGAGTACACAATGGTGGTTAACATCATTAAAAGACAATATTTAAAGAATAAAGAATGTGTAGGCATCCTTCAGTCTTGAGAGACTATGGTAACGTGCTCTGAATAGAGGTCTTGGAATGGCATTTAGTGTGGCTGAGAAGGCCAATTTGAGAGTGACAATCCCTTCCACACTGAAGATAAGTACAATCTGTCCCCTGTCCAGCTCCCTGATTTTGCTGGTTTTGCGACTGCCTCTTTGCCTTGGCCTGCTGGACAAGTGTCTCTTCAAATTGGGAGAGGCCATGCTGTATCGCCTGCCTCCAGGCTAAGCACTCAGATGTCAATGTTTCCCATCTGTTGAGGTCCATTCCTAGGCCTTCAGATCCTGCTTGCACATATCCTTGTATTGCAGATGTGGTCTCCCTCTGGGGCGATTTCCCTGCACTAATTCTCCATACAGGAGATCTTTCGGAATCCGACTTTCAGCAATTCTCACAACATGCCGAAGCCAACGTAGACGTTGCTGTTTCAGTAATGTATACATGCTAGAAATTCCAGCTCATTTTAGGACTACTCTATTTGGAACTTTGTCCTGCCAGGTGATACCAAAAATGTGTCGGAAACAACGCATATGGAACGTGTTCAACTTCCTCTCCTGCCATGCACAAAGGGTCCAGGACTCACTGCAGTGCAGGAGTGTACTCAGGACACAGCTCTATAGACCTAGATCTTCATATATGCAAGAAAAAAGAGCATCTAACATAACTGAAAGGCAATAGAAAAGCAAAGAAACTAATGCCACTCTGAGAAATGGAAAACACAAGCTACAGAAAGAGGAGGAAAAGAAGAACAGAAGAAAATGAAGAAGGGGAAGAAGAAAAGGGGAATATACAATTTCTTCTATAGTGTTTTTAGTGTCTGTAACACATATTTGAAAGTCCCTCTAATGCAGATTTAGCTTACTGCCTATGGAGACAGCTGACTTGTCAGCACTTAATGGAAAGGGCCCCACAGTGCATTGTAAGGTGTAGTTGCCTTGGTGACAGGTAGCAAACTAAAGTCATTTCCCATCCCTTCCAGTTACAGCTGCAAAGTTTTTTCCTCTCCAGGCTGCTGTAAAGGGAAATTGAGGGGAAATCATGCACCATAAGAAGCAGGCCTGTAGAGATACCCCTACTGAATCCTCAGATCAAGTCTTCCAGTGTTAATTCCTAAAGAAAGCACAATAACCAGTCTGTCAGAGATGCCCTTTATATCAGCCTTCCCCCACCTTGTAGCCTCTAGATTGACTACAGTTCCCATCATCACCATCTAGCAGGGCCAGCAGTACATTTGGAGGTAGCAAACTGGGCAAGGCTGCTTTCTATCCATCACTGGTCTGTGTGCTGCTGCTTAAGTAGCTGCTCCTCCATCAGTCTTGGTGGGCGTAAAAGAGTTCCATCTGTCTGATTTAACTCTCTAGCATGATGTGAAACCACACACTTTGCGTCATGGAAGGCCCACAAGAACAAAAAAGAAAAAGAGAAAATCTCACTGGTGCAGATGGAGGGAATCAGAACTATCTTGGCCA